CAAGAACATATAACACTTCTTTGAGGTACTTTCCTTCGATTCCCATTTTCTTGGATGTTTTAATCATACGGCCATATATGACAAACCCTCAGCTAATATTCTCAATGGTGAAACACTGGAAGTTTTTCCTCTAAGATCAGGACCAAGACAAGGATGCCCACTCTCACCTCTCCTATTCAGCATGGTGCTAGAAGGCCTAGCCAGAGCAACGAGGCAAGAGAAGGAAATAAAGGATCCAAATAGGGAAAGAATTCCACCTGTCACTTTTCGTGTATATAGAAAACCCTAGACTCCATGAAAAGACTAGCAAGATACAAAAATCAATGTACAAATCCACTGCTTTACTATATACTAACAATGAAACTTCAGAAAAAAAAACCCAACTATTCCTTTTTGACATTACAACCAAAAGAACAAAATACCTAGGAATATACTTAATACAGGATGTGAAGAGCCTATGTACTGTAAACTATTAAGTATAGTTATTAAAAGAGTTTGAAAAGGACAGAATAGAATGTAAAGATGTTCTGTATTCATGGATTGGAACAGCCAAAATAATTAAAATAGCTATATTACCCAGAACAATATACAGATTCAATGCAATCCTCATCAAAATCTCAATGATTTTGAAAAAGTCACCAGATTTGTATGGAACCACAAAAGACTTTGAATAGCCAAAGTGATCCTGAGAAAGAGGAATGAAGCTGAATGTACCAGCTACCTGACTTCAAGTTATACTACAGAGCTGCACAACCCAAACAGCATGGTTTGGCAGAGGAACAGACACACAGATCAATGGAATAGAACTGAGAGCCCATAAATAAAACTGCACATATATGGATACATAATTTTCAACAAAAACATACAATGGAGAAAAGAAAGCCTCTTCAGTAAATGGTCCTGAGAAAATTGGAACGCCACATGGAAAATAATGAAACTAGATTATAGTTTGTCCTCATATATAAACATTAATTCAAATGGATCAAAAACCTACATATAAGATCTGAAACAATAAATTACATACAAGAAAACAGGTACTAAACTTATAGACTTTGGCCATAGAGAACATATTATGAACTTGGCCCCAAAGGCCAGGGAAATGAGGGAAAATAGCAAACTGAAAAGCTTCTGCACAGCCACAGAAACTAACAACAAAACAGGAAGGTAACCAGCCAGATGGGAGAGGGTATTAGCAAACAATAGCTCTGACAAAAGGTTAATATCCAAAAAGTGTGAAGAACTCATATAAGTCAACACTAAGCAAACAATCTATAATAATACAAGAGTAATAAGCTAATTAGACCAGATGTCTTCTGGATGTCTTTCTGTCCTCTGGACGTAGCGGGGCCTGCGAGGGAAGCTGGTGGCAGCCCTGGGGGAAGGAAGGCCTACTCTTACACGGATTTTGTGCATCGAGCCTCTAATCCAGTGTAAATGGCAGAGGACCTCTCCCAAGAAGACACGTGATGCTCAACATCACCGGCTGTTAGGGAAATGCAAACCAAAGCTGCAATGGGAGAGCACCTCACCCCTGTTAGAATGGCTATTCCCCACACGACAAGCAGCAAGTGCTGGAGAGGCTGTGGACAATAGGGAGCGTCCTTCTCTGCTGGTGGGAATGTAGACGGCCCCGCCACTATGGATAAGAGAGTGGCAGCTCCTCAAAATATTAAGACTAAAGGTATCACATGACACAGTTCCTCTTAGGTATCTCCCTGAACAGCTTGAAAACATTTACTCACAAGTGTTTCCTTAGAAACAGCTAAGAACCATATGATTTCACTCAGATGTGGGTTATAAAAAGGAAACTCATAGACACGGACAGCAGCATGGTGGCTACCAGAGGGAAGGGGTGGGGTGGTAAAGGGTAAGGGGGCACAGATGTGGTGATGGAAGGATGTAACTGGGTGGCGGGCACACAGTGCAGTATGCAGATCATGTGTCATAGGGATGGACACTTGAAACCTATTTAACCCCATTAACCAGTGTCACCCCAATAAATGTAAATTTTAAAAAGATAGATGATGCAACGAGGAGGGAGAGATTTAGGGGAATTGATGAGGTGGTATTTGGAACTTCTGAGCTCAAGATGCCGCCAACATCTAAGCCCACGCAGAGAGGCCAGCACGCTGCTGCGTAGGTGGCCGGGGCTTCAGGGGAGTAGTCAGGAATGGGGTTCCAGATTTTGGACCCACAGCCTGTGGGTGTACCAGGCACCAGGAGTTCCCATGACACCTCCTAACAAGAGCCATGGAGTGAGAAGAAAACTGTGACCTGCCATTGTTTTCCGGGCAGCGGGAGGGAGAGGGCAGGAGCAGTGCACGCGGGCAGAGGGGGTCAGGAGTTGTGCAGGCAGAAAGGACAGGTAGCAAAGCTACCCAGTACCCAGGCCGTGGACGTGCCCAGGAGGGGACCTGAGCAGCAGTGGCGATGATGGCCGCAGGGCACAGCCTGGCCCGGAGCTGCAGGGACGGACGTGGAAAAGGCAGTGGCCTCTCAGAGGTTGGGAGGACGGAGGAAGGAGGCGGCCATGCCTGCTGACGGGGAAGGAGATAACCTTCAGTGACGTCAGGGTGTGGCCTCGGGGAAGGGGCGTGGTGGGAAGTGGCACCTGGAGAGGATGCTGGGGAGGGGCTGGTGCCGTCCACAGAGAATGGCTGGGCCCTCTGCGGCCAGACGCCTGCTCCTCCAAAGGCGCTGGATGTGGAGAGGTGGCTGCGTGGCCTCTCGGGCGCCGGGCTGAGGCTGTGCTAGAAGGTGTTACTGATGCCAGGCCCCTGCCCCGCTCCAGCTGTCTCTTTACAGCGTCTAACACCGCAGAGGCAGTGGCCGCTGTTTGCGAGAGCGGAGGCTCTTTTCCAATCTCCCTGGCCTCTGGGCCACAAGCCAGGCCGGGGGCCCGGAGGTTAGGTCCCTGATGCACAGCCACCTCCCAGTTCCTCCCTCCAGCCTCCAGGGCAGACACAGGCACAGAGATGGGAGGGTCCCTGGACGCCCGTTCTGCCCAGGCCCTTGCCACCCCGCACCTGTGTTCACCATCAGCGGCGGCCCTGCCCGGTGCCTTCACCGTTCACGGAATTGTGAAGCAGGAAGAGAAAGCTGTGCTCCTCTGGCTGTCACCTCACACTGACAGTGACGGCCACAGCACACCGCCGTGCTCAGAGGACGGAGGAGGCCCCGCCATGGCTCAGCCTCCTCTGACAGCGGGTCAGAGGCCAGCAGTGCCCACGCCAGGCCCAGGGGGCGTCCTTCACTCACCCCTCCCGCAGGGCGCGGCGGCCTCACCTGGCCCCGCTGGGTGTGCAGGGCAGTGACAGTGTGTGTGTGTGTGTGTGTGTGTGTGTGTGTGTGTGTGTGTGAGAGAGAGAGAGACAGAGAGAGAGAGAGAGAGAGAGAGAGAGAGAGAGAGAGAGAGAGAGAGAGAGAGAGAGAGAGAGAGAGAGACAGATGAGAGAGAAAGAGGAGAGAGAAAGAGAGAGAGAGGGAGAGGAGAGAGAGAGAGAGAGAAGAGAGAGAGAGAGAGAGAGAGAGAGAGAGAGAAGAGGAGAGGAGAGAGAGAGAGAGAGAGAGAGAGAGAGAGAGAGAGAGAGAAGAGAGAAAGAGGAGAGAGACAGAAAGAGAGAGAGAGAGGAGAGAGAGAGAGAGAGAGAGAAAGAGAGGGAGGGAGGGAGCTCACACCCCTCCATTGCAGTGTGCCGTCCAGTTTCCTCACTGGCTTATAGCTGCTCTCACAGAGCCCCTTTCATAAGCTGAGCTTCTTCACGTGGGCGGAGGCTCGGCACTGCCCATGGCTGCGGACCCCGCCGTGGCAAGGGTGACGTGGAGGCCGAAGCAGAAGGGAAGCTGGAGTGTTTACATGGGAGGGAAGGGTGGAGGGCCTTTCTTTCATCATCCTTGAGGCAAATAGCTTATCTCACCTCCAGCCCATGCCCTGGAATGAGCCCAGGCTCCGGCTCCAATGGTGGAGAGCCACATGGGAGGGAAGGGCCATAAAAGGCCGGCTGCCCGCAGCCGCGCATCCAGGCCGGCGAGGAGCACTGTGTTTGTCCGGTAAGTCCTGCGCAGCCCAGCGGCTCCAGGCCCCTCGTGGGCTCACGAGGGCCGTTTGTTTCTGGAAACTTTCAGAACCAGCACGGAGCCTGGACGCTGGCCCTTGCCCATGGCCCCTGACGCCACTCCGGCCCGCCCAGTGCTCTTCTCACGCTTCCACACCACCCTCCAGACACAGCTCGCTCTCCTAACCCACGTCCCCAGCGGCGGTGGGAAGCCAGGTGGAGGCTGCCCGTTGGCGGAAAGGGTTCCCGGACACACAGTGTCACTGCTGTGGGTGTCGGCACTTGTCTCTGCCCGCCCGCCCGCTGATGTGTGCTCTCATTTCTCAAGCCTTGACTGAGCACCTGGGAGCCAGACTCTGCCCCCAGCATGCCCTGGCCAGCCTGGCCGGCCGCTTCACTGAGACCTGTACTCCCCATGGCACGCAGGGGTCTCAGCGGGCCTGCACGCAGCACAGGACGGCCCCTCCCTGTGGGCAGGTGTCCCCACACCGCACCCCCACCCAGCTCCCAGACCCTCCCCGGCCTGAGAAGGAGCGGGACTGCCAGACCCGAGGACTCCCGCAGAGCAGCTGAGGAGCTCCCATCCTCTCGCTCCCCCCTCCTTTGCTGGCTCCTCGGCCTGTCCCAGCTGCTCCCAGACAACAGGGCCTCCGAGAAGGAGCATGTCCCTTCTGTGCCATAAGCCAACGGCTCACGTGCTGCACTGCCTGAGGGGCTCACTGGAGGTTGCGGACCATGTTCTGGAGCCTCAGTGTCCACCTTGCAGGGCAGCAGCTTGCGCCCCTGGAGGCGGCTCAGAGCTGTAGATGAGCCTGTGCCAGAGGAGGATGGGTCTGGTGGGCACTGTGCGAGCTCCCTCCGGCCTCGCACCCTGACTGGCCTTCCTCTCCAGCTGCATGTAAAGTCGGAGCCTGTGAGTGAGCCGCAGTCTGGATTGTGGAGAGGATGCTGCGCTCCCCGGTCCTGTGGCTGGTTTCAGCCACCTGTGCCCTGGCCTTGGCCTCTACAGAGCAGCCCGGTGAGTGCTCTGCCGCCCGCAGCTCCCTGGGAGTGAGAGGAGGCAGTGCAAGCAGCTGTGGCCAAGGAGAGGAGCGGGCTTTAGGAGCTGGGAGTCTAGGGGCCAAGGAAAGAAGAGCCAGAACTGAGTCCCTTTCCCTCAAGAGCCGGGTCAAAAGCCCCTGTCAGAAGAGTGGGAGCCAGTTAACAGCTCCCCTGTCAGGGTGGGGGACCCTGAGTTGTGAGGCAGGAACCCCGACGCTCCAGGCTCTGGCCTGGCTGTGGCAGTGCCTTGGCCAGCCTCTGTCCCGTGTGCCCAGGGACCCCTGTGGTTCACGAAACCCACGATAGTGCACCCGCCTGCCATGGGAAGGGTCCCTGTTACACTCGGTGAACATTTCTGCAGGCATCACCTGTGTGGGGGCGGGGGAGGGGCGGACCTCCGTTCATGGCCTCCCTGGGAAAGCCCAGCGTGTGTGGGAACTACTCCAGGAACCAGTGCAGAGTCCTTCCCTTAGAACAAGCACAGGCGCCCCGGGCTCGAAATCCCCGAAGCCCTGTGCGCACTCAGCTCGTCCCGCGGGCGCTCACACCCCGTCTCAGCTGCAGCGAGCCAGGCGCTCTGGACCCTCTAAGGAGCCTTCTGGGCGTGGCCTCCCATGTGGGGCATCCCCCACCCCCCTCCACCAGGGACCCGGGCCGCGGGTGCATGGTGAGCTCCACGGGATTCGGTGCTCCATGTTTCCCTGTGTATTACACACAACCATACGCCGCACTCAGGGTGAAACAGATATTACGCCTGGGGTGAAATAATTCTATAAGAAAGTCATTGGAAAAAGCATCTGAAGTAGACAATAAGACAGAGGGACACAGGTGTGTGTGTGGGGGGTTTGGAAACCACCAGCTCACAGGTGTTGTTTTGCAAATGAGTCTCAGCAGAGTTGGGCCACCAGCCAAGGCCAAGGCCATCCAGCCAACAGGTGTGGAACTGGCTTTAACCCCAGGCTGACCAGCTGTAGTCCCTCCCCTCCCGTGTCTTCACACTCAGGGCCCTGAGTCGGTGAACACCAGGAGGCTCTGTTCCATCGCTAGTTCGGGGGTAGGGGTAACTTTGCCCTCGGGGACATGGGCACGGATGGAGACAGCTCGGGGAGGGGGAGCCGACCGGGGGAGAAGAGCGGGGAAGGCGCTAAGCTCCTGTGCAGGGCGGCCCTGTCCTGGAGGCCGAGGTCAGGTCTGTGTCTGCTGATGAACTCGGGCTCTGGGATGTTAGGAGAGGACGGGGGAGAGTGCATACTTTCCGCCCGGACACCAGGCTGACTTCAGCGAGGGCTACAGGCTGGCACTCTGAGGGGGAGGGGGAGTGGGCTGGCTTTCACTTGAATGGCACCGAGTTGTTTCCAACGAGCTTGTGCCATTTGCACTGAGGAAGGCAGGCTGGTAAGACAGGACCTCAGCGTGGGACCCAGCGGGGAGTGGCCCCCTCCCCCTCAGCCACCCAGCTCCACAGATATATTTACCTTTACTGACCTCAGAGAGAGGCAGAAACGTCAGTGATTCAAGAGAATCATGGACTGGCTGCCTCTTGCAGGCTCCACACTGGGGATCCAGTGGCAACCTGGGCAGGTGCCCTCACTGGGAATCGAACTTTGACCTCCTGGTTCAGAGGTCAGTGCCCAACCACAAAGCCTTGTTGGCCAGACCGGAGCTTCTTTTTTAAATTTTTATTAAAAATTGTAATGTTGACATGTTTGCAGGGTCCCCTCCACCCCCTTAGCCCACCCCCTCTCCGTACCTCCCTCCCCGGCTTCTCACACTGGTGTCTGTGTCCATGGGGTCTGCACATGTTCGGAGAGAATTCTTTCACCGTCTTCACCTTTAAAATCTGCGGCACAACCTCTTCATCAGCCTGGCCACGGGACTGTGATGTGAGGCGGAGGGTGATGTGCCTCAGTGTGTCCCCAGCAGAGTGTGGGCTCCTCGGTGAGCCAAGTGCACTGTCCTCTCCAGGCGACAGAGCCCCCGTCAGAGGCGCCCCCTACGGGCTGGAACCGGTGTGCGGAGCTCCTGGGGCCCCGGAGCCCCCCCTCTGCTTTGACCCCTGCCAGAACCACACCCGCCTGGACGACCCCTCCCGGAGCTCAGAGGTCACGGAGAGAGCCCAGAAGTGTGACCGGGAACTGCACGGCTGGTTTCGCTTCGTGGGCGAAGGCGGCACCAGGATGCCGGAGACCTGTGTGCCCATGCACAGGTGCCAGACGGACGCGCCCATGTGGCTGCAGGGGGCCCACCCAGCCCCGGGGCAGGGCATTGTCACCCGCACCGCCTGCGCCCACTGGTCCGGCAACTGCTGCTCCTGGAAGGCAGAGGTGCAAGTGGCGGCCTGCCCGGGGGGGTACCACGTGTACCGGCTGGAAGGCACCCCTTCCTGTAACCTGAGATACTGCACCGGTGAGTGGCGTGGCCGTGACCTCGGGCAGCCGAGCAGGGAGAGTGGGTGGGGCTTTGGGAGGAGGCCCCGCAGAGCGGCCTGTTGCTGACAGCCCGAGAGGGTCAGCAACACCAGCTTCTCAAGAAAAACCCGACCTTCACACTCCAGGGGAGTCGCTGGCATCAGTTCCCCAGATCCCCAGAGTAGGGTGCTCCCATGAACCCTTTCATGAGGCGGACGAGGTCAAGCTCAGGAGGAGGGACGGTGAATGTGGGTGGGGACAACTGGGCTCCTTCCCAGACCCCAAATAACCACAAGCCACACTCTATGCCTGGGAGGGCCAGCGCCCGCTGGGCAGCCCACTCACGGCTCCCGCAGGCTCAGTCCCTGAGCTCATGTTGCCCGCGGCCCAGCAGCCAGCCCAGCGCTGCTCAGGGCGCTGCCAGGAGGGGCTCCCAGGAGCTGGTGGCCGCCTGGCGCCTGGTTAGCTGCCTGCAGCAGCTGCAGCAAAACACCCTCCAATGCTGCAAAGAAGTGGGGTCTCTGTCAGGGACACAGGCACCAGCACGTCCGGCCGCTCCGGCTCAGCACCAGGCTCCAGTGGACAGTGGACTTGCCATCTCCAAGCTTCCGCTTTCTGGTCTGGGAATAAATAGTGACAGCATAACAGCTCACGCTCAGGGCTTCCCAGGTCCTGGCCTGACCGCAGCACATGAGACTCACTGGCCACTCACCGCCTCCGGAGGCCATCAGTCCCTTCTCAGCAGGGGAGGTGCTGGGCACGGAGGGCGGCCGCTCCTCAGGTCCCAGAGCTGCCTCTGCCTCCACGGCCCCCCCCCCCCCCCCCGCCCAGGCCTGTGAGCTGACCGTGGAGAGCACCCCAACAGTGCCTGCGTTGGGAGCATTGGGACAGCAGCTTCGGGTGCTCACTTTGCACGCTAGCTGGGGGTCAGGACCTTCAGGGTTGCAGGCTGGCTCCGCCATGGAGACCGGGGCAGGTCCTCTGTGCCCAGTGGAGGCGCAGGTCCCCTGCCAGGAGTCCTGACCACCTTGCCCTCCCCGCAGACCCGGCCACAGCTGAGAAGGAGACCAGGTGCGAGCAGGCCTGCCGCCCGGAGGAGGAGTGCTCCTTCCTCAACGGCACCTGGGGCTGTGCCTGCCGACGGGACCTCAACAGCTCCGGTGAGCGGCAGCGGCCGCGGGCCAGGTCGGGGGGCTCCCCTGAGCAGGCGCAGGGCCAGGGTGGCGCAGAGGGTGAGGACAGGGGTGCACCCAGCCAGGTTGCACCTCAGAGCACCCATGACGGGCTTTGTGGACCTGTTCCCGGGTGTCCTCTCCTGAGGGGGACCAGACGGCCCTTCAGACTTCATCAGCCGCTACTCAGGATTCCATGGCTCCCAGACAGCCCTCCTGACCTGACTGTGCTTCTTCCCATCTTCCCCAATTCCCCCCATTTCCCCCAGCTCCCCTCCCATCTCCCCCATCTCCCATCTCCCCCATCTCCCATCTCCCCCAGATCCCCTCCCCCAAGCTCCCCCAGCTCCCCCAGCTCCCCCCGTTCCAAGTTCCCACATTTCTGGACTCTGTGTGTCTAAGACCCCATCCTTTCTTTTGTGGCCACTTTTCCTCTGCTGCTCCTTTAAGCTGCGATGCTGTCACCTGCTCATTCACTCTCAGACTGCAGCCTCTGGGCCTGCTCTGACTGACTTAGCCGGACCTGTGCGCCTCCGCACTGGCACACACACCTGCTTGCCCTTCACATGCTGTTGTGATGGCAGCTGGTGTCCAGGTTCCACAAAGACCGAGTCCTCATGGCCAGCCCACGTGTTCTTTCCTTTTTACTGTGTGTGCCCAGCACGTGGAGAAAGTGGTTCGTACATGTATGTTAACCTGTGCATTCGTAGGTTCCATGGACATTGCATTCCTCTTCATTTACACTCTCCTCTACCGGAATGCTAGCCCTTCTGGCTCTGAGTGTTGTGTTTTGGTAGCCACTGTGTCCCGGTGCTGGATCAGCACCTGGCAGGCAGCAGAGGCTCTGAAAGTCTTCGTTGATTATGTTGGATGAATGTATGAAGGCCGTGGCTCTGACCAGGTCAGGTGGCCTCGCAAAGTCAGGGGGTGGGGGTGGCATGTGTCGGCTTTGACTCTGGCCTGGGGGACAGGACAGACCTGCTTCGCCAGAGCGCTCACGCCCACGGCGCGTGGACACGGCACCTGCCGCCCCGCATGTAGGATGCTGGACCGTCTCTCACCAGGGCGTCTTTCCCAGGCTTGCCTACCAGCCTGGCGAAGCCCAGCTGGCCTGGCCCTTCTGGTCTCCCTACCTTCCTGGCGGGCACAGGCTTCTCCCGAGGCAGGGAACGTGCTGTGCCCGCTGCTCCAGGCCCTGGCCACAAGTCCCTCTCTGTCCCCAGACATCCACAGCTTGCAGCCGCAGCTGGACTGTGGGGCCAGGGACATGAAGGTGCTGCTGGACCGGTGCCAGCTGGAAGGCCTGGGTTTTGGAGAGGAGGTCACTGCTTACCTGCGAGACCACAACTGCAGCAGCCTCACCCATAGAGAGGAGGGGAACTGGATCTCTGTGGTCAGCCCCGCACAGGCCAACGCCTGCGGGAACCTCCTGGAGGTGACGGCCCCCTGGGGAACCCCCTGGAGGGGGTGGGGAACCCCCTGGAAGGGGGGGGAGAGCCTTCTGGAGGGGGTGAGACCTGGGCAGGCTGGTGGGGAACCCCCTGGAAGGGGGGGGGAGCCTTCTGGCGGGGGTGAGACCTGGGCAGGCTATTTAGCCTCTCTGGGTTTCAGGGCCCATGTAAAGAGCTTTGAACAGGCCTGGTGCTTGAGTTCCGTATCTGCAAACAAGGCTTGTGCTTGTCGTGAGGAGGGTGACCTGGGAGGGAAGAGGAGCGAGGACTCCCAGGCAGTAGTCAGCCGCAAGCCCGTCCCATCCAGGGCGAGTGTGGGAGGGGAGGCCCGTGCCACAGTGAGATCAGAGCGGAGGCGTGTGATCCAGAGCCCTGACTTGAGCCAGACAGGCCGAGTGCAGAGTGATCACAGGAGCCCACACACACATGCACGTGCTGTTGTTTTATGCCACAGAGAAACGAAACCCACGCCATCTACAAAAACTCCCTGTCCCTGGTCGACGAGCTAATCATCAGAGACACCAAACTCAACATCAACTTCCAGTGTGCCTACCCGCTGGACATGAGGGTCAGTCTGCAGACTGCCCTGGAGCCCATCATGAGGTGCGGCCCTGACTCCCTCCCCCTCCCAGGACCCTGACCTCCCCCTTCCCCTCCCAGGACCCTGACCTCCCCCTCCCAGGGTCCTGACCTCCCCCTCCCAGGGCCCTGACCTCCCCCTCCCAGGGCCCTGACCTCCCCCTCCCTGGGGCCCTGAGGTGGTTGCTCTCACTCTAGAGCGCCTCGTTCATTCTACACAGTTTGCTGATCACATATCCATGATCAATGCGCAGGCAGACACACTGTTTTGTGGTGTTAGGTTATGATTATGAAACAGTGAGGCGGCATGACCAGTGTTAGCTATGCTGAGGAATAACAACAGGTGACAATTCATTTCTCTTGAGGAAGAAAGGCAGTAACAGCTGCAATTACAAGTGAGGGAGAGCATGGGGGGCGCTCGGGCTGCGGGCTCAGGGCGAGGGGGGCGGCGGCTCCCCAGGCTGGGGGTCAGTGCTGCTTGGTGAGCGCTCCGCAGAAACAGGCCCCTCTCCCCCGGGGGGGCTGCCTCCAGCGGCAGTTTGTGCCCAGGCAGCACTGGGCACCAGACAGGCCCAGGCTCCCGCACTCGGACCCGCAGGCCCGTCTGGGGCTCAGAACGCCCCCGTAGCTCCTGGCTCTTAGATGGCAGCATTCAAAGGGTTGCACATGTTCTAGTCCCACGGCTCTTTGAGTGTATGGTGCTGGGCATGAACATTAAACCATCATCCGGTTAGAACTGCCGGATCCCGAGGATGGCGGGTGGGTGGAGAGGTCTGCGGCTCAGCACTGTGACCCTCAGGCCTGGTCCCAGCCTGCTCTGCAGGGGGCGGGCGGGGTGGGGGGAGAATGGAGACAGCGGGTCCCTGAGGTCAGCGCTGTGCGAAGCTGAGACAGGCCATCTGCTTGTCAAGCTCAGAACCTGGAAGGCAGCAGATGCTGGTTTAAATGAAGGCGCTCTCAGGCACAGACGCTGTGCCCTCAGAGCCGGCAGCGGGCTGCTTCACTCTGTCCCCCCGCAGCTCCGTGAACATCAGCCTGGCCGGCCAGGGGGAGTTCACCGTCGCCATGGCCCTCTTCCGGGACCCCAACTACACACTGCCCTACGAGGGGCGGGTGGCCGTGCTGCCCGTGGAGGCCATGCTGCACGTGGGCGCCCTGCTGGAGCGCGGGGATGCCGCGCGGTTCCGGCTGCTGCTGCGGCACTGCTACGCCACCCCCACTGCCGACTGGGCTGACCCCCTCAAGCACTTCATCATCAGGAACAGGTGCGCCCGCCCGCCGGCGTGAAGTGTGCGGGACGGTCACCGTCCTGCCGGGCACTGTGATTGCTTCTCTCTTCTGGAAAATGATTTGATGTGACGTTTCATGGCCGTGCCCTTTGGCCCAGGAATATTCCTCCTGGAATCGTAGCTGACGGTGTTCAGGCTGCGGGCAGGGTGAGGAAGGCCATGGCTCCCATCTCAGCTTTCCTCACTCCTGGGCCTTGGGTCACTGGTGAGGCACCAGCTCTGAGGACATGGGAACCAGTTCCCACGCGGGGGCAGATGGCACTGGGCACTGCTGCCCGCCAGAGCAAGGGGACTCAAACGCGGCCCGGTTTGCCTGTGCTTGCATCTCTCACCGATGCTCACGTCCCCGGGGGTGCAGGGGCCGGTCCCCCAGATAAGACAGGCAGGGCGGGCTTGTGAGGGAGCAGGCATCTGCTGTGACCTGGCAGCTGGAAGCGGGTCAGGCTGGGTTTGAAACCAGCTTGCCGCTCAGGGACCATGCCCCAGAAAACGGGTGAGGGGATGGACAGCATCTTGGACCCTGAGGCAGGATGCCTGGGGGATGGGGCGGCTGGGACCCTCGGGCTGTTTGCTCCTGAGCTGCTCCCGAAGGAGGGCTTCGCCCTGTCCCCCAGCTGCCCAAACCAGCTCGATGCCACCGTCTCTGTGGAGGAGAATGGCGTGTCCGCCCAAGGCCGCTTCTCGGTCCAGATGTTCAAGTTCGCAGGCAACTATGACCAGGTCTTCCTGCACTGCGAGGTGCGCCTGTGCGACGCCCTGCAGGAGCAGTGCCAGCCGGTGAGCGCCTCCTTGGACTCGTGTGAGAGTCCGGCCGGGGCCTGGGGGCCCACGCATAGGTATTGGGATATAATGGGTGGAAAGAAGGAAAGGGAGGAAGGCAGGAAGGGAGAGTGGGAGGGAAGGAGGGAAGAGGGAGGAGGAGGAAAAGAAAGCTGAGGGATGAAGAGATGAATGACGGACAGTGGGTGCAGGGGAGGGTGGGAGGAAGAGAGGAAAGGAAGAAGGATGAGCGGATGGGTTTTAAGCCTCCAAAGTACCAGGTATAAGCGATTACTGTGTCCCCAGGGGAGGACCCTGTCCACAGGTCTCCTTGGCACTAGACACATCTCAGGTGATATGATAACGGGTGCTTCTCAGTCCGCTCTGTGCTGAGCACTGCACCCAGATGCCTTGTCTGATTGAATTCTCACCATAGCCACATCAGTAGATTTCCTTAATGACCCCATTGCACAGACAAGGAAACTGAGGCTCAAAGAAGTCCCTTGCCTAGGGCCACATAACTCCCTCAGAGCTAAGGTGTGGCTCCAGGCCCCAAGTGGCCTCTGCTGCTGACATCTGGCCTTGGCCAGTGGTACTGAGTGCCTGGTGCTGTAGACACACCGCATTTAACCTGCCCAGCGGGAAGGCTCTTTTGTCTGGTAGAGGTGAGGTCACTGTCCCAGCCCAGCTGATCAGAGGCAGCTCCACCCCAGGCAGCTGGACATGGCAGCAAGCACGCTCTGCGTCCTTGGCACCTGGATGACAGAGAACTCTCCATCCCCACAGTTCTGCTCAAGAAGCCAGCTCCGTAGTGAAGCAGTGGCCATCGACCCAGCCCTGATCCTAGATCTGGGACCCATCACTCGGAAGAGTAAGTGGCCATGTCCTGGTGATAAACCTGTGGCCCAGGGCTGACCATCAGCCACCAGGGCCTGGTGTCTCTGGCTTCCCGAGGCAGAGCCGTGTCCCCTCCACCCCCCCCCCCCCCCCCCCCGCGCTGCGCCTGCCTTCCGAGGGGTGCTCTGGGTGACACTGACAGCGTGTGGCCCGCAGGCCAGACTGGGCCCAGTGTCCACTGGCTCGCTTAACCTTTGAGCCAGTCCATTTTATTGGTGAGAAACCAACGCTCAGAGAGACTAAGTGACTCACCAGGCACCTGGCCTGTGAGCGGCTGCAGTGAGACCTGCACCGGGTTGATTCTAAAGCGTGTCCTCACCCTCCTCCAGGGCCTGCAGCCAGTCCCTTGGGGTGAAGGCTAAGTCCCCCCCACACAGCTTTGTTTGCTGGTGAATGACTTTCTCACAATCCAGTTACCGTATCAGGGCGTAAAGTTGGCATGCTTTCCATGGCTCCTCACGAGAGAGAGAGAGAGAGAGAGAGAGAGAGAGAGAGAGAGAGAGAGAGAGGGAAATCCATGTGAAAGAAAAACATTGGCCAGTTGCCTCCGAACTCACCTCACCCGGGTATTGAACTCCCAGCCTAGGTATGTGCCTTGACCGGAGTCAGACCCTGGGTGAAACTTTTTGTCCTAAAGAAACGAGGACATGTTAAGTTGTGGCAGTGACAGCAGCAACGAGAGCAGCACTGCGGACCCTGACAGAATGCTCACAGTCACAGCAGCTCGGGAAGCGAGTGCTGTTGCCACCCCTTCTCCACGGACAGCCAAGGAGGCGGCTTCAGGGGGCTCTGCCCAGGGCTGTCCCCCCCTTGCTGAGCCCTCCCCCCCTGGATGCCCCAGGTGGTGTCACAGGGGCTGGGGAGGAGGGGAGGTTTAGGGTCTCTCATTTGGACTCAGACATATTGGGTTTAGAATCCCAGCTCTGCTGCCAGGCCTGGAGACTGGGCTCAAACTGGCCACAGAGACCCGGCCACAGTGACCCGGCCACAGAGCCCTGGCCAGTGACCCGGCCACCTGACCTGGCCACAGAGCGACCACAGTGACCCGGCCACACTGATCTGGCCACACTGACCCGGCCACCTGACCTGGCCACCTGACCGGCCACACTGACCCGGCCACAGAGAACTGGCCACAGTGACCCGGCCACCGCGACCCGGCCACAGCAATCCGGCCAGAGTGGCCACAGTGTGGCTGTGCAGGGAGACTCCTGAGCCCTCATCCCTGCTTTGTTTCCAGGTGCCCAGTCTCTTGGTGTCATGAACGGGACCCCCGGCCCTGCAGGTACCTCGTTTCTCTGCCCCCCATGTTCTCCCTTCCTTCTCACCTCAGGCACTGTCCAGCTGGGCCCAGTGCTGGAACTGTGCCCACCGAACCAAGTCCTTCTGAGACGGATTGGCAATGCCATGTCTCACAGGGGGCCGCTCCGTTCTGAGTGCCAGCAGCGCTCCAGGCCCCGAGGGCACAGGGAGACCTCCAGGCCCCATGTGGGAAGGAGGTGGTTTATCCTTCCCTTCTGGAGGGTGGGAGGCGACAGCAGGCAGGTGGTAGGTGCTCTAGAGAGAGGGGTGCGCAGGAGATCCCGGCAGTAAACCCCTTAAATCAGACGGAGCCCTTGCTCTCAGCATGAGCAAAGCCCCAGGTGGGCGGGCTGGTGGCAGCACATTCACCAGGGAGCTGGCTTCCCGCCCGCCTCCTGCAGGCTGGCAGCTTCATGTCCAAGGCGGCAGTCCAGGCTGCAGGAGAGCAAAGCCACTCGGGAGGGGAGGGCTGGTTCCACATGGCATTGGGGAGGCTGCCCACGGTACAGCGCCCAGACACCTGTGGAGGAGGCGGGAAAGTGCCTTGTGCTGGGAGCATGCCAGGCTTGGGGATAGGTGGCTGTGCCCCAAGCACAGCCCATGCTGCCATCAGCACTCACCAGGCCAGTCAGGGACTCCGCCTGTGCCCTGTGCAGCAGCCAGCGGGGCAGAGGGTAGAGGGCAGAGGGAAGAGGGCAGCAGCGCCCCTGACCCCCTCCTCCTTCCAGGGCTCCTGGGGGCCGGGCCTGGGCTGCTCCTGCCTGTCCTCCTGGCCCGGCTCTTCTGAGCTTCGGGTACAGAGCCCTCCAGCGACGCCTCCAGTCAGCCTGCGGCTCCTCGGACCTCCCGATCCAGACGTCCAGTGCCAGTGACCAGCTGGGCCGAGTGGGGAAAGGGAGGGCGCCCCGGGGTGGCTCCAGGCCCTGTACCCCTTTCTCCAGTGCCAGCTGTCAGCCGCCTCGCTGGCTTTCTCACCCTCCAGCCGTTTCTTGAAAACAAACCTGCTAGGCCTCTGTGGCTCTAGCCTCCCCCGCAGTGCAGCGTGCCTTTGTGGCTCCAGGGACCAGGGACTAGGGGCTGGGGCGCAGGGAGGGCCAGGGGAGGAGGCTCCTAACAGAGGTCTCTGTGCTGGTGATGGAATAAACCGTCTTGCTTTCACCACATCCTCTGGCGATGCCCATCAGGGCCCACAGTCGCCATGGGAACATGAGTGAAGGGGACTCCCTCAGAGCCTGCCTCTGAGAGACATCCCACTGCTCCCTGTCTCCATGGCACCATGGACCGCTGAGATATGCCTGGAGCCGCAGGCCCCTGCCCTGGGCTGGTGCTGGGGGGTCTGTTTGATGGGGTGCAGCGACCTGTGAGCCCAGAGCACAGCACAGCTGTTGGCAATGGTCCCGCCCCCGCCCCCCGAATCCCAGAAGAAGGTGAGGCATCATTCACCAGGTGGATAGAGCCACAGAGCTGGGAAGGGTGAAGGCTCTGGGAACCTGGTAGAGCCTTCACAGCCTGGCAAGGCACCCCTTGCCCATGTTGGCCTCAGGGAAATGACCATATCAGGGCTGGCCCAGGGCTGGGGCTGGGTGAGGGTGGGGACTGTCCACCAGGCACCTGTGCAGAGACAGGGGGTTTCAGGAAACAGACCCTGCCCAACGTACTCCAGTGGAGGTGAGTGAAGACAAGGATGCAGGAGCTCTGTGCCAGGACAGACAGATGGCTCCTGGGACAGACAGCCTCTGGGACAGACGGCCCCCAGGACAGACAGATGGCCCCCTGGGACAGACAGACACCCCCTGGGACAGACAGATGGTCCCCAGGACAGACAGACACCCCTTGGGACAGATGGCCCCTGGGAAAGACAGATGGCCCCCGGGACAGACAGCCCCCGGGACAGACGGATGGTCCCTGGGACAGACGGATGGTCCCTGGGACAGACAGACACTCCTTGGGACAGATGGCCCCCGGGACAGACAGCCCCCGGGACAGACAGATGGTTTCCAGGACAGACAGATGGCCCCTGGGACAGACAGACACCCCTTGGGACAGACAGATGGCCTCCGGGACAGATGGTCCCTGGGAAAGATGGCCCCAGAATAGAAGGCCCACTAGTACCCAGTTTCTCCCTCTCCATCTGCACTTCCTGAAACCACAAACCTTCACTGTGTCCCCTGTCCTGTCCCCTCTGAGAGCAGCATTTCCTGTGTATTTGTCATCACGTGATGAGCTCAGCTTTGCGGGCTCATACCGCAGGGGCCACAGGACTGACTGCATTGTGCTATTCCACCTTCAGCGGCACTGGTGGTCAGACTCCCTCCTGTGCCCAGGGTCCCCTGGTCCAGTCGTCTGTGACAGCGCGTGGGCTCATCCCCACAGCTCCGCCAGTCGGCCTGAGGGCAGGCCAGGCCACTAGGATGGTGGCCTCCTCAGACAGAGTTTCAGGGAGGAGGTGCCTCCCGGTTCCCCCGAGTCAGGATTCGGAGTGCTCCACCCAGGCCATGTGTGAGGAGGGGCTGAGGGAGAGGCCAGGGCCTCACACATCCTCTCCAGGCCCTGGCAGGGCTGGACCCGGGCCTCAAACATACAGAAACTCCTTCTTTAAAGACAGTTCTACCTAAATAGAACTAAATAGTTTTTTAAGTTGAGATAAAAAAAACAACAGATAGAATCTTGCTGATATCTGTGTGCCCTCCTCCTCAGCCCTCAGAGGTTACCCGGGCAAGGGCCTCCCTGGGACATATGGCCTCAAAATCTCTTCCAGCATAACGTACTTGGGATTCTGCCTAAACAGAGCCTATCATCTACCTATCACCTATCTATCCTCTGTCTATCAACTATCTATCCATTATCTATCTTATCTATCTATCTATCTATCTATCTATCTATCTATCTTTCTATAACCTATCTATCATCTATCTATCCTCTGTCTACCAACTATCTATCCATTATCTATCTTATCTATCATCTATCTATCATCTATCTATCTATTTTTCTATCATCTATCTCTATCATTTATTTATCATCGATCGTCTATCTATCATCTATCTTTCTATCATCTATCTCTATCATTTATCTATCATTGATCGTCTATCTATTTATCATCTATCTCTCATCCATTTATCTATAACCTATCTATCTATCATCATCATCATTGTCTATCTAACTATATCTATTTATCTATACCCTATATATGTATCATCGATCATCTATCATCTATCTATCATCTAGCTCTCTATCATCTATCATCCATTTATCTATCATCTATCTATCTATCTATCTATCTATCTATCTATCTATCTATCTATCTATATCTATCATCTATCTATCATCATCATCTATCAAACTATATCTATTTATCTATAATTTATATATCTATCATTGATCTTTCTATCATCTACTTCCTATCGCATCTTTCTCTTTCTCCATCTAGCTGGCTAGTTTCAGTTCTGTGTTTTCTGCTAATGGGTGTGCTGCATGAGTGACAATATCAGAACATCCAGTCTACTTCATTCTTTTGATTAACACTAACCTCCTGGGCAACTTGCTATGTCCCAGGCCCTGGCCTGGGTAAATGATGAAACACAGTCCCTGTGCTGAGAGGTTCAAATCTGGTGGGACATGAACACACAGAGGGACTCCCAGGTACAGCACAGTCAGGCACACGTGCTCACTGACACTCAGATGCAGGGCTCACACCTGACAGAGAGACAGGCTTTAACTGCTGTGCATACAACCTCATGGGCCCAGAGACCTACTTCTACACAGCGCCTCATCTGGGCCTGCTAGCCATCGCTTACACATGCATGCCATGGCCATGAATAATTGAGTCACAGCCAATGTGTTTTGAAACATGTCCTGTGCACCAGGCATTATCAAAGTGATATGGGCATTACAGCGTCCAGTTCACTGTAGCTGTCTGAGGCAGGTACTATCACTATTCTAAGTTTAGAAGTGAGTAAAACCCAGGTGTAAAGAAGTTCATTACTCAACAGGGTCTGTCATTGTTAAATGCTGGACTCAGAGCTTGAACCCAGGCAGCCTGAATTTGGAGTATGTGCTTTTAACTAGATGCTGCCTTCTACCTCTGTCTACACACAACATGTACATGCACTCAAACACTCATATTCACACATGCACCACCATACATACATGAACCCAGGAACATGCAGGTATATGGAACATACACATATGCACTGACACCTTTGGACAGACAATATATTTGCCAACACAGAGGCCCTCACACATACATGGCATTGACATTCATGGATAACACAGATGATAACATATACATGCCCACTTATGCATGCTAGTATACACCTTAGTACAGAAAAAAATAACTCAGAGACACTTACACTGAGTGCCCAGATGATGATGATCTCTGAACGCATAATAATCTGGCCACTCAGTTTATATCCTATATAATAAAAGCGTAATACGAAAATTGTCCCAACAACCAGGAGTTTGACCAGCAGGCATGCTGGCCAACCACCCATGTCCCCTCCCCCTGGTTAGGCTGGCCGAACTCCACCCACGTACGAATTCACGCACTGGGCACTAATGTACACACTGAGTGGCCAGCTTATTATGATCACCCCATAAGGACTTCATTGGGCCACCTTTTGCCTTCAATACTGTGGTGATTCTTCTTGGCATTGACTCCATGAGATGTTGAAAGGTGATGTAAGGAATCTGACACCATGCCTGATAAATAGCACTGTCCAGTTCTGTGAGATTTGATGGTTGTGGAACCAGCTGCCTGGTGGCTCTTTTAACTTCATCCCACAAATGCTCCATTGACTTTTTTTCCCGATGATCAACCGTCCAATCCTTGTGTTCCTCTGTGAACTGGAGATGTTTTATCTTGGTAACTGCAGACAGCAAAGGTGTTTGAGCAGGCCTTCGGCTTCCATATCCCATACGAGGAAGTGTATGGCTAATTTGCCTACAAACGTTAGATGGTCATAATAATCTGGCCACGTAGTGTATATTACCTAACGCTGTCTCCTCCCCTACCTCTGCAATACGTGTGTTTAAGAGTATGGAGCCACAGGTCTTCCTGAATGTGTGACAGCGGGAACCCATCCCTCCAGAAGACACTTATATTCTATCACACACACCCACACACACACCCACACACACCACACACCCACACACACACCCACACACACCACACACCCACACACACACCCACACACACACGGGTACATAGCCATACGCATACATGCTTCTCCTCCCCCATTAGCTATCCTCCTCTCCATCTCCCATACTTCCAGCTGGGCACTGGGACAAGAAGTACAAACAGGGGACACAGTGAAAATGGGCCTGGACCCAGATTTTGGAAGTTCTGGAGTAGAAGAATGATGGAGACATGAGAAACAACCTGACCCCTATTCAAGAAAACTAGTGTCTGTGCTGAGGACCATCTTGAATGAGCCTGTCGTGGTTGCAGAGAGGGTAAGAGCATGCTGAGCAGCTGCTGGGAGAGCAGGCATGGAAGAGAAGCCGGGTAAGGCTGAGACGAACGCTGAAGCAGGAGCAGAGCTCAGCCTAGCAGGATAAGAGGGAAGCATTCTCTTCCTTTTCCAGATGGAAACCGAGGTTCCAAAAGGAGGAGTGCATGGCCATTCCATTCACAGTTCCCTAGGGGATGCTGGAAGATGTGTTGTACCAGCTGGTAGAGGAACAGGGAGAAAGGCAGTCCCCTGAAATCTGAAGAAAATGTGGAATGGGAACCCCGAAAATAAATGCCAGCCAATCTCATTTCATAAGCTCGCCTCATCTGCTCCTTCTAACCTCTTTCTCACAGGAAGGGCTAGAAATCATGCTTTACCTCCTCATCACCATAGAGTCTCCTGTCAAAACTCTAGCAAATGCTTCTTCATTCGACCCCATTGACAAGCTGTCAACTCTTACTTGGACCCAAAACAGCTTTCAAACTGGCCTTTCTCTGGGCTCACCCTCCCTATCAGTTCCCTGGCTCATACAGAGGAAGCCTGGGCTGTTAGGCAAAATCTCAGGGGAGCGGCGAAAGGAAGTCCCAGAGGCATGCACATTTCGCACAGAGGATGGACTGTTGACTCTGTTGCTAGATAGCCCTAGTGGGAAGGAGACAAAAGCTCTGGACTGTGCTGAGCCCCAGTTCAGACTGCACTGAACCCAAGTTCTAGGCCAGACCCTGGGGACCCAGGCTTATACAGAGGGAGCCTGGGCTGTAAGGTGGAAACCCAGGGGAGCAGCGAAAGGAAGTCCCGGAGGCATGCACATTGTGCGCAGAGAACGGGAGGTTGACTGTGCCGCTGGATTGCCCTAGTGGGAAGGAGACAAAAACTCCAGAGTGCTCTGAACCCCACTTTCAACTGCACTGAACCCCAGTTCCAGGCTCATTGGGGGAGAGCCTACACTGTTTGGTAGCAGGTGAAACTTGAGGGCACCTTTCTCTCAGAGGTGCTTGCAATGAGTACTGAAGGACCCTGAGGAATACTGAGACTCAGGAGCCTCATAGGGCATGGCTGATGGAAGCCAAAGCTGTAGGCTCCACCCTGAAACTCCGCCCCATCAGAGAAGCTGCGAAAATGCCCAGACAAGGAAACAGATCACAAACGAAAGAAATGGAGGACAAAAAGTGACTGGATATAGAGTTCAAAACCACGCTTATAAAGTTTTTCAAGAATTTCCTAGAAAAGGTTGATAAGACCTATGAGGATATGAAAAGGAATCAACAAGAAAAAATAAGGGATCAACAAGAAATAATAAAGGATCAACAAGAAATAAAGATACATTGTCTGAAATAAAAATATTATACAGAGTCCTAAAAACAGAATGGAAGATCGCAAGAATCAAGTCAAAGATTTGGAACATAAAGAGCCAGATGATACTCCTTCACAGAAGCAAGAAGACAAGAGAATCCAGAAAGTTGAAGATAATGTAGGAAACCTCTGGGACAACTTCAAGCGAACCAACATCAGAATTATGGGGGTTCCAGAAGATGAGAGAGAGCAAGATACTGAAAACACATGGAAAGAAATAGTGACAGAAAACTCCCCCCACCTGGTGAAAGAATTAGACCTACAAGTCCAGGAAGTGCACAGAACCCCAAACAAAAGGAATCCAAAGAGGACCACACTGAGACACATCATAATTAAAATTCCAAGAGCAAAAGACAAAGAGAGAATATTAAAAGCAGCAAGAGAGAAACAGGTAGTTACCTATCATATAAAGGAGCACCTATACGATTGTCAGCTGATTTCTCAACAGAAACCATGCAGGACAGATGGGAATGGCAAGAAATATTCAAGGTGACTGTGCACCTATGGATGAGGACAATGGGGGATGGGGAGGGGGCGGAGGGTGGGGTGGGAACCTGGTGGAGGGGGGAAGAAATGAGGAACCTTTGTAATAATATGAACAATAAAGATTGATTTAAAAATAAAAAAATAAATATTCAAGGTGATGAATAGCAAGAACCTACAGCCAAAAATAATCTACCCAGAAAAGCTATCACTCAGAATCGAAGGCCAGATAAAGAGCTTCACAAAAAAAACAACAAAAACAAACAAACAAACAAAAAAAACTAAGGGAGTTCATCACTGCCAAACGAGAATTATATGAATTGCTGAAGGGGGTTCTTTCGGAAGAGAAAGAAAATAAAGATAAAAATTATGAACAACAAATACGTAACTATCAACAAGTGAATCTAAAAACCAATGGAATTAAAAAACCTGATGAACAATATTAACTGTTGAATATAATAGAATCAGAGGTATTGAAGGGGAGTGGACTAATGATTCTCAGGGAAAGGAGGAGTTGGGGGTACAGGAAGAAACTGAACATAAACTGTGTACCTATGGATAAAAACAATGGGGGTGGGGAAAGGGCAGAGGGTGGGGTAGGAACCTGGTGGAGGGGGGAAAAATGAGGAACTTTTATAATAATATGAACAATAAAGGTTTATTTATTTATAAATAAATAAATAAATAAATAATAAAATAAAAACAAAAAAACAAAAGTATTTAATGAGGGTCAGAACCTCGTTGTCCTAAGTATTTAATGCTTAAGAGAGTGGTGGTACCAGGGCTCGTATGGGAGTTGTGTGAGGTTATTCTCTGCTCCCCTTGTTTCTCCTCTAAAGAGTCATGCTAGGGGAGGGAAGGCCTGGGGTCTTAAGCACGTGACTAGCCATATGAAAAATCAAAGGGTCTAAACTGCAAGACATGTAGGGGAGAAAAGACCACCCGGGGTAAGGTCTTACCCTAGAATACTTGCTTTCCCAATTCTGTCCATTGCTAGGCACCTAGGACTTTCTGCCTTGTGACATTTCATACCTGGCATAGGGTTCCTGCTCTGTTCATGAAGGTCGAACTTCCTCCTCTATCAATACCTTACCTTCTTTCTGCTCTGAATTTCCCATAGTCCCTTGCTCTGTTTTATTCCGCCTTGCACTGCATTTGCATGTGCTGTTCTTGCCAATATGAGAGCTGATAGAAACACCTCCCCAGCTTCTGGCAGAACAAACCAGTGGGCATGAGGCCCAACTCATTGGACTACAAGGGATCCACTCTGCTGAACCCTGGGACAGTGAAGACCTGGGAGGCCTGGGACTGACACACCAAGGTGTCAAACAACCTCAGAGAAGAATCAAATGAGCTCCACAACAGCATGTCCAAAGTGACTGCAGCAGAAAACTGCTGCAGAAAAGCCCACATTTTCTTTTTTAATCTTTCCTTTATTTGTTCTTTTCTTCTCTTTTTTTCTTTCATATCTCTTTCCTTTTCTTATTCTATTTCCTCTTTCTTTTCTTACTGTTTTTTCCATTTCCTTATATTCTCTTCCTCTTTTATTTTCATGTTTTATTTTTCATTTTCTTTTTTCCCTTTGATTCTTTTTATCTCTTGACTTTTATTATTCTTGTCTCTCTTTTTTCTTATTTTTGTTGTTTCTTTTGTTGTTATTGTTGTTTTTTCCTATGGGAGGGTCTGTTTTGTCTTGTCTTGTCTTGTTTTTTTTTTCTGTCAGTACCTGTACAACAGTTTGCATGATGTTGAGGTTGAGCCTCACAGTCAGCCAGCCTGAGGGTGAGCCCATCAATGAGCAGAACAAGAGCAATCAAGACTCAATTACAACAGAGGGCCCACATAACTCACACAAAGGACATTTTTAGAACACCTAGCTCAGGAGATCAAAGAGACTGAACCACTGAGCTTCACAAGACAGAAGGCCATCCCATGAAGACTGAGAGTTATAGCAGTTCTATTTAACACATAGAAACAAACACAAAGAGACAGCCAAAATGGGAAACAAAGAAACAGGTCTCAAATGAAAGTACAGAAGGAATCTCCAGGAAAAGAGCTAAATAAAATGGAGGTAAACAAATTATAATCATAACAACATCTGTATCATATGGTTACCAGAAGAAGAAGAAAGTGAACAAGGACTAGAGAATCTGTTTGAAAACTTCCCTAACTAGGTAAAAGAAAAAGTCACACAAATTCAGAAAGAACAAAGAATCTCAATCAAGATGAACCCAAAGACATCTATGCCAAGGCATATCATAATTAAAATGGCAACAGTTAGAGACAAGAAGAATCTTAAAGGCAGCAAGAGAGAGAGAGTCCATTACTTACAAGAAAGCTCCCATAAGGCTGTCAGTAGATTTCTCAACAGTAACAGCAGGCTAGAAAGGAATGGCATGAACTATTCATAGCAATGAAAAGCAAGGACCTGAAGCCAAAACTATTCTATCCAGCAAGGATATCATTTAAAATTGAAGATGAAATAAAGAGCTTCCTAGACAAATAAATAAATAAATAAATAAATACTGAAGGAGTACATTATTACCAAACCAGCATTGCAAAAAAAGTTAAAGGTACTACTGTAAGAAGAAAAAGAAATATATATAATATATAGAGGAACATGGGCAT